ATTTGCATATTCAGAGATTCTGGAGGTTTTGATAAGGAAATTGTACTTTTGCAGGAAAAAAACATACAGGAAATGATCCATCACTATAAACCTATAGATATATTATTAGTGGGAACATCGAAGGTAATTGCAACTATATACCTTATTTTTCCAAGTCAGACTGCCTGTCTGCCAGACCAGAAGGAAGGTAGCTTCAAAGTAAAAGCACAAGTCACAGCAACCCACAGCTGTGGGTTTAAACAAGCTTTTTAGTTGAATTGGAACTTGTCTGCTGAGAAAAACAACTGCAACCTTTTATAAATTATCTTGGGGCCCATGTGGAATAATAAATGACTTATGATTAGATAAAGAGAAAATATTTAATTTATATAGAATTATTAGACATTGAATATACACAGTATCATGAAACATATAAATATGATTAAAATAAGAAGTGCACAAATAAAATAACACTATAAATAATATGATAGTGACCTCTGACGCATTTATTTTTAGTTTTTTGTTCCTTCGAGCAGGCTTTTATTTTGAATATTATGAGAAGAGGCGAAATTTGTATTCCAGTGACAATGACCATCATATCACATTCCCAGATGGAATGAGAGGTCAAAATAGCTCTGTGTGCACAAATGTATGCGGACAGCAGGTTAGTGAGCTGTGGATGTTGTGGAATGTAGACCAGGCAGGGACGATGCTGTGTTTTTGCACGGGGATGACAAGGTAAGAGAAGGTCACGCCGAGCTTTATTCAGATTTCTGTCTATTTTAAACTTTCATGTAACAGCGAATTTAACCTGAAATATTAAAAGCACACATTGCGGGTCCTGAATTAGCTGGAGTATATATTTAATTCGGCATCTATAATTCTATCAAGCAGCAATAAAAAAAAAACACAACTTTTGTATTTGTGATGTTAGAGGAGACCACCCACTGCGGTGTATGTGTGGGAAGAAGGTTGCCGGAATAACCGACAAACCCAAAGTAAAGGGTGGTTTTTAATTACATTTATGACATATATTTTGACAACATACCTGCCGAATTGACCCAATGGCACTTGACGCTTAGTTGAAGTCTGAAATCATGTTTTATGAGGTGTGTACCTCTGTAGATAACCGAAACAACGTTAAACTGGTAATTTCCAACAGCTGTTTGGTTGCAATTTCTCTGTGTGAGGCGACAGGAAGTTGACTACAATATATGGGTGTATGAAGATGCAGCAGTAAGCTATGCATATAAGGAACATAGATAGATAGATAGATAAGGGATAATAATGATGATGATATTTTATTATATAATAAGACCATTTTTGTTCTTCCTAGAGTCAGTTGAACCATCTCTGACCCTAGCCCCTGTGGACGAGCCCTCAGACTCAGATATGACCGTGATGAGGAAAAGGTTCTCCTCAGTCTGTTCCTCTTCCTCAGCTGAAGAAGACAGTGGAAGCCTCTATGACAGTGTTCCCATTTCTGCCTCTGACCCACCCAGTGAACAGGAACATCCCTATGCATCTCTGCTCTGGTAAGCTTTCTAGGCTGCTTCCATCACTTGGAGCCTGTCAGCTGGCAGATACAAGGCTTGAGCAGTGGAGGATGTGTTTACTTAAGTAAAAATAGCAGTATTACACTGTCCAATACTGCATAAAAAATGATGCATATGTAAAAGTGATGTGTTTTAGGTATTATTAGCTAAAGCAATCAATCAATCGATAGCAATCAATGCCTCTGTGAGTTTTATATGTATAGCATAGTATAACTATAGCAAGTAACTAGTCAAATAAATGCAGTAAAATGAAGTGGAGGAAAAGTATAAAGTGGCATTAAATGGACATACTTAAGTATAGATACCTCAAATTTGTACTTACGTAGTACTAGAAATACTAGAAATCAAAGCCATTCTTGAATAATTAGCAATGTTTTTAGTTTTAGTTTCTCCTACACTACTTCACAGCCTGTTCTCATTCCCAGGTTGTCAAATATAGACATGAGTGGTGTTCAGTTAGTTGCAATCTGAAACTTCACCACTAGAAGCCACTAAACCCTACACACTGGTCCTTTAAATTGCATGCCTTGTTTTGTTTTTGCTATAGGAAGTCTTTTGAAAACCTTGGCTTTTGCTAATTCTGGCATTTTCCGTATCTTGCTATCTATACGTCCTGCTAGTTTACAATTGTTGTCTGCTGATGTCTTTTTTTTTAACACATGTACCTGCACTGTCCCTTTTCTATATGAACTGAACTAAAATAAGCTCTGTTGCAGCCACTTCAGATACATGCCTGCTGCACTCACACACATTTACCTTGTGGCTTTTATTATATTAGTGCTGCAGAGTTTATGAGATCCATTACAACATTTTCCACCCCCCTTAAATGTAGGTCCACAATTTATGGTGATTGTAGCATTTTGACTCTCCTAACTTAATGATAAAAATAGAACAAGACATCAGGACTCACTGAAGCTATTATACTCATAAAATAATTTTCCACTTGTGTTTGAAACCGTGGACCACAGCAGCATTGTTACATTCTGTGCAGATTGTGTTTGTCCTTGTATTCTCCGGGAAACTTGTGCAAAGCCGTTATTTTCTCAGAGAAGAATCTGGGAGTCGACTACACCTCAGAGATAATAGGAGGAAGACTGGAGGGTTCTTTGCAACTTTAAGTATGAGAACATGTTAGCGTGCCACTAGTATAGACACCTACACTGATTGGCTGACTTCCACATACAAATGGAATATCTGATCAAAGATTAAAGGTGCAGTCGCACCAGAACTGGCAGGGCATTACTCAAGCTGGTGAAAAATACACCTCATGATGATGACTAAAACAAGTCTCTCTGTTCAGTTGCCATCGAGTCCAAGACTCTCTGTTGAGCTCCAACAGCAGCTTCACCAGATACAGAGGCATCCTCAACTGGATCATTATTCTCCTGGTCTGTATCGCTTCCTTGATTTTATAGACAGATATTTCTGTTTTATGCTTTATTAACTGACTGGTGTTTTACTGTCTCTGTGTGTTTTCAGGTCCTCACTCACGCTCACCTGTTCTTGGAGAATTTTATACAGTGAGTAGAAATATATGCATATACACTTTTTATAGGCAAAAACGTATTGATTTTTAATAGAGAGCTAGTTCATTCGAAACCCTGACCAAACTGCACACCACATATCCAGTCAACAGTGATTGCTTTCCAAATTAAATCCATCCATTGGTTTTCACAGCCAATACATTTGATCCAATCAGGAAGCAAGAAGTACAGACCACACTAATCAAGCACTGATATCCTTTGCTGTTTGTTCAGGTAGCCTAATGAAAGTACGAACTTTGGCGTTTAATTTTCTTTTTAATTTTTCTTTTTTCTTTATTCATGAATTTATACATATGATTGCATGCTAAAATGTATGAAGTAAAGTGTAGTTATATCAGACATTTAACAGGTAAATAAGCCAGCTGTTACATTCCTAAGGGTGGCAGCAGAGGGCCATTTTTAAGTGCTTTAATTGCTAGCTACTCAGAATTCCACACTAAGTTTGGTGGTGTTTGCTCTTAAAAGATGCAACGAAACACAAACCTGAGTTAGCGGTTCTAAATCCACTTGATACAAGTGCACACACATTGGCCCACTTTAGATTATTATAGTTATAGTCACAGCTTCTAATTGGATGGAAAAAGTGCACCCAACATATTTTAGCCTTTCAGCCTTCATTTTTAGTCATGATAGCAGCATGTTTCCTCATATATGTAATTTTAAGTAAATGTTTAGTCTTCATCTTTGAAACTGTAGCTTGAAACAGTAGTTTCAAAGAAAACAAATCTTAGCTCAGCTTTCAACCACATTTCACAGTCTTCATCAGCAGATAGAGCTGAATAGATTTTACAATAAAACTCACTGGGCTAAATCCATCCTCTGAAGAATGTGTTTTTGGTCATACCATATATTTAAAAAGGTTCCATGTGTGAGCTTTTTATTTGACTTTTACCTTTGTTTTCCTCCTCTTAACAGACATGGCTTTTTGATAGATGTCAAAAAAGTCTTGGAGCATCTCATTGAGGACAACTGCAACTGGCCATCTGTCAACCTCATACTGGGTGAGAAACTCTTTCCTACTCCATAGGAAAAAAGAAAAATTACATTAGATCAACTTTTAGTTAGGTTTAGTGGAGTGCTCCACTGATTTAATATCATATTACTATAACATTGTCAGAAACACAATGGACAGTTTAAAAAAAGGACCAAAATTGATGTAGCAGAACCAGAAATACCGTATAATTTATATGAGAAATATGATCTCTGTTCCTAGTTCTTGTCAGTATTCGTGCCGCAGCATTCTGAATCAATTGGCGTGTCTATATGAACTTATTGGGACAGCCTGATAATAAGGAACTACAGTAATGCAGCCTAGAGGTAACAAATTAGTCAAATCAGTTAAGTCATTAGACATATCCTGATCAAAGATAACTCCAAGATTCCTTATGGTGGTGCTCGAGGCCACGGTAATGTTATCTAGCATAGCAGCTAACAGTATCTTTAGATAATGTCTAAGGTGTATGGGGCCAAGTGCAAGATCTTAAGTTTTGTCTGGGTTAACATCAGAAAATTGCAAGTCATTGATAGATATAACTGGGTATGATCTACATACAAGTGAAAGTTAATGGAATTATTCCTAATAATGTTGCCTAATGGAAGCATTTGTAAGGTGAATAGAATTGGTCCAAGCACAGAACCTTGTGTTGTGGAACTCTGTGACTAACTTTTGTGGTAATGGAAGATTGTTAGCATGTACAAACTGACCCAAGTTGACCAGACCAATGCTGACTCACACTTCTGGAGCCACA